TTTATTTTGAATTTGAAACCCAGTTCTGCCATTTCTCTGTGTGACCTTGGATAAATTATGCAATCTAAACTGCTAGTTATACTCAACATGTCAGCCTCTGACCTACCCCACGAAACAGACAGTTTAATCAAGGCAGTATTACAATGGATGGTGAAGTATCAGGAAACCATTACTAGGACCTAGAAAGTGCTGGAAATTTAGTAAAGGGGACATTAAACAGGAACTTTCACCATGGAAGTATTCAGCCACTGCCAAAACCACAGCAAAGCTAGCGTGGGAAGAGATAACTACCCTGACCACCTCTCATTTCTACTACCCTCTAATCTTCTGCCAGTGCCTCTCATTGGTAACACCAGAGCACAATGGAGCCTGAGTGATGCAGTCTATAGATGTCAACCTCCTGAGATGCACAGCAAGGCAGGGAAGGGTCGAGAATCAACTGGATGGGGGACTAACAGAGAATAGCCAGTTCATGAGCACACTACCCACCATCTCCTTTATCCATTAAAAAAGTGTTTATTGTGCTAGGGACTATTCAAGGGAATTAGAGCATAAGGGTTCACAAGATGGAAAAGATGTCCACATTCATGGTGCTTTCATTCTACTCGGGGAAGGCGGACAGTAAAGGAATAAACACTCAAGGCAATTTCAGATGATGATATGTGCTATGAAGAAAATAAAATGGAGGACTGTAACCCTGACTCAGAGAGGTCAGTACTTTAGATGAGGGTAATCAGAGAAGTCATCTCTGAGGAGATGTGCTGGTAGAGCTTAAAATGAATAATATGAAGAGACCAGGGAAGAGTGATAAACAAGAGGGATCAGGAGGGACAGAGTGTGAATACCCTGGGGTGGAAACCAGTTTGGTTCATCCAAGGGAGAGACAGGAGGCCAGTGTGGCTGGAGCAGTGTGAAAGGGAGGATGTGGGGGGATGATGTAGGAATGGTAGGTAAAGACTAGATCACAAAGAACTCTGTGAGTCAGGCAAGGAGTTGGGTTTTTTCCTATTGCAACATAAAGGTCTTAGGCTGGGGTTGGGGGACTGGTGTGTTTGTGGGTTAGGACACAATCTGATTTGCATTTGTAAAATATAACTGTCATTAATTTTGTGGAAAATAAATTATAAAGGGACAAAAATGGAAACATTCCACTGGAAGTTACATTTCCCTGACCACAGCTCCCATGTTCAGGTGAGCTAGGTGGTATTTTGGGTAAACACAGCACTGTTTGGGTTAGGATGGGCACCTGACCAAAGAGTGGCCCATCCATAGGCTGGTTGGCAGCCCTGGAACTGGCTTAAAGCTAAGAACACTGCAACTGGATTGTATTCCTCTGAAATTTGGACTAGAGGATAAGATTAATCAGCCAGTTGTTAGAATAAGAACAGATCAAAGATGTAGAGAACAGACACACTGAGAAAGAAATGAGAGTAACCTATTCTTAGAGGTGTCTAGGTTCCTTAATAATTATTCATTTATCCATATAAATACTCCTTCCTCCTTGCTCTTTTAATTAAGATGGTCTGAGTTTCTCTCTCTCTCTCTCTTTCTTTTTTTTTTTTTTAGCAAAGGAGTTTAATGAGCACACTGGTGTCCCCAGGGTTTCATTCTTAGACATTTTCACTTTTCATTTACTTCAGTCAGGAGTGACAAAGATATGCTCTGGTAACAAAACCCTTCAACATCAGTGGCTTAAAACAGTCAAGGTTTACTTCTCACTCACGTTACATGTGCATCATGAGGTGACTAGGAACTCCATTCCGCATCATCTTCCCTCCAAGACCAAGACTGATACAGCATCTACTCTCTGGAACATTGTTGATTGCCAGGACAAAGGGAAGAAGAGTTCTGGAAGGTCTTGCATCAGCAATTAAATGCTACACTCACAATCCATTGGCAGAACCTGTCATGTGGACCAACCCAACCACAAGGGGGCCAGGAAGTACAATCCTGCTATGTATCCAAAAAAGAATAGGAAATATTTGTCACACCTACTACCATTCACTCATCCATAACCATGGCTTTAACTGCTGCCTGTACACCAAAACCGAACCAACACTGTTGCCGTGGAGTTGATTCTGACTTATAGCAACCCTATAGAACAGAGTAGAACTGCCCTATAGGGTTTCCAAAGAGTGGTTGGTGGATTCGAACTGCAGACCCTTTGGTTAGCAGCTGTAGCTCTTGACCACTGTGCCACCAGGGCTCCTGTCTATACACCAATGCCTTTCAAATCAAAATTTCTAGGAGGGATGCTCCATTTTAACTTCATATCCATATTTTCAACCTCCTACTGGAATGTCCTGGAGTTCCTTGGTGGCACAAATGGTTAAATGCTCAACTACTAGCCAAAAAGCTGGCAGTTCAAACCTATCCAGGAGCACCTCAGAAGACAAGCCTGGTGATCTGCTTCTGAGAGGTGACAGCCTTAAAAATCCTATGGAGCAGTTCTATTCTTCACACATGGGGTCGCCATGGTCAGAATCAACTCGAAGGTAACTAAACAACTGGAATGTCACACTTTGATATATCATAGACATTTCAAGACCTAGGTAGCAATACTGTACCCATTATCATCCCCACAATCTCTCTGTAGTCTCTCTTTTGGTCAGTGGCTCCATTATCTATTCACCACCTCAAATAAGAAACCTAGGTGTTATCCTGGACTCTTTCTCCCTCTCTTCCAACACCTAATTGGTTGCTAAGCCTGTAGTTGCTTCTCTATCGTTTTATCTCCATCCTACTAACTCCGCCACCATTAACGCTACTTCAGCCCCTCGTGGATTCTTACCTAGACAATTATATTAGCTCCAGTCTGGTGTTCCTGCCTTCATCTCTTTCCTCATAAACTGCAATCGTTTGTTCATTCAGTAAACATTTAAAGAGAGCTTACTGCTTGTTAGATTAAATAATGGACCCCACTTGAATAAATCCAAGTATAAAGGGTGAGACAGTGATGTAAACAAAAAGTACAACATAATGGGAACAAATGTGATAATAGCTATATAGACAGTGGAGTGGTAATGGAAAGGAAACACCAGACTGGGTGTGGTGGTGATGGGAAGGTAGTGTAGGAAACTTCTAGAGAGGAAGTGAAACATCAGTTAAATGCTGAGGGAGCAGTAGGGGATGCTCCTTCGTGAACCACGGGAAACTGCAAATTGGAGAAATGAGTGAAGGAAGCAGCATGTGCCTAGCTCCTTTGAGGGATTCTACATGACTCAGCAGTCCACGGTGGATTGAGGGGAATGGCAGGAAGGAGCAAGCAGGAGCCTCATCAGTAAGGTCCCAAAGTGTTCTGGTCAGTTATTTGGCAGGCAGCTGGGTGGAAGGTTATCCACTGGGATAAGATACTTATAAGAAAGAGCAAGTTTATGGGGGAAGATAATTTTAATTACGGATACAATCACAAAGTTAACATTTATTGAACACTGATTCTAGGCATTGTGCTAAGCACCTTTATTGTTTTATTTAATCCTCAACAATTTTATGTGGTAAAGTTGTATTATCTTCATCTTGCGATTAAAACAAACAAGCAAAAAAAAAAAAAAAAACACATTATTTAAATTCAAGGATTAAATGACTTGACCAGTTATACAGTTACTGTTTTGTTCCAGAGCCCAGGCTGATTAATACCAAGCGATCTTGAGTTTGAGGTGTCTACAGGAACTCCAATTGGATGTGTACATAGGCTGGGGATCAAGGGAAGTATGGACAAAGAGACACAGACTTGGGGATCAGCAGCATATGGGGGCACAGTGGGATCAAAGCCGTGAGCTTGGATGAGATGACTCAGAGAACTCCAAAACAGAAGGAGGAGAGTGAACCTGGAGAGTACTAACCTTAAACGGGCAAAAAGAGGAAAAGAAACAGCAAAAGAGATTAAGAAAGAGCCATTTGATCGCGCGAACCTTTAAGAAATAGCCTTCCGTGAATCTTTTTGAGAAGCCCCTAGTCCAGTGCCTGGGGTTAGAAGGGGCATGTTGTCAAGGGGGGGGGGGGCGTTCTTTATACTTAATTTCTTCAGCTTCTTATGGATCAAACAATCTCCTGAAACCCAAAGGAAGACCTCACTAGGTGGGGAGGCAAATCTAAGAAAGGGAAGGCGGGGTGGAGAGCAAGTAGCAGTTAGACCAAGAACTCTTCTCCCAGTGTCTCCAAGTGAGGGGAGCTCTGGATGCGAGCGCCAAGGAGAGCTGCCCGCTCCAATCAGAGGTAACTGCGAAAACGACAAAAGGGTACTAGGCGAGGATCCAAGGAGTTTGTGAACAGGGTCGCTTCGGTCCGACAGGCGAGCGCGCCGACTGATGTTTAGGCACTTGCGCGCCCGCTCGGGTGGGCCGGGAGCGTGCCAGGCCCCCACCCGCCGCCAGAATCTCGCCGGCTCTGCAGGCCCCACCCCCTCCGGCGCCCGCATCCTCTGCTCCAGCTCTCGCCTCTCGGGCATTTTCGCTCAGCAGCGCCCCCAGCCCCAGCCTTCCCAGCCAGCAGCCCCACCCGCCGCTGGCCAGGCCGTGCGTCATGGGGGGCGGGGCCAGAACGCCACGCGTGGCCGTCCCCGCCCTCTCCAGCCGAAAAGGGGTGGGCTCCGCCGGTGCGGGGTCCGGAGTTTTCTTGCTTGCACCGGACTGTTGCTCTGCTGTCTGGTCCGGAGTCTTCTGTGGGGCCCTCTCCTGCCCCCGGGGCGGACGCTGGGAGTGAGGCGGGCGTGCGGGGCGCCATGAAGGGCCGCCGCCTGTGGGGCGCCACTGCGGAGGGGCTGGTCGGCTAAGGGCCGAGCCGGGCCGAGGCATGCGGAGCCCCGGCGGGAGCCTACTTCATGCGCTGCCGCGGCTCCTGCAGCACGCCTCCCTCCC